GCAGAGGAGGGGACACGGCGTAGGTGTAGACGAAGCCAGCGTAGGAGCCCTGCAGGACAACAAAGCCGGCAGTTTAGCAGGAGCAGGGGTCTGGACCCTGTGTCGGTCTAGTTTTTATTTACTGTCGATGATACTTTGCATAAAAACAGTCGTACACAGTCATGTTGCTGATGTCTCCCTGTGAATTATGGTGTGGAATTATCCCATATTTATCTACATTTTGACAAGTTGGTGGCAGTAAATGTATGCTGAACTAGCTTTTAGCAGTTTGTGATGTATGGGGGTCGTTCCACCTCAGGAGACCGAATGCTCCACGTCTGGTCATCTTCAATTTGTCATTAAAAAAAAAAAAAAAAAAAAGTGGCGGATATTGATTGAGTTGATAATGTGATTGAATTGATAATCAGAGGTCATTGGTCACATTAGTTTTTGAGTTAAAAATTCTTAAAGAGGGGAGGGCTCGTGTTGAGTTTTGCATCCTTTCTTTGTACCAATCTGTGGATCAATGCTTAAAGCACCACAGCTGAAGAAATAATGCAGCTAGAGTCCTGAAATGTTGTAGGTTCACTGATATGTATGTATGGTTTACAATAGTAAAACCCTGCTTTGACAGAATAATATAAACTAGTGATATGATGGTGATGTTCTACCTGTGACTGGCACCAACGGGAGCTTTAAAATGTACAGTATAGTGCCATTCAGAGTCATACTTTCTGAGAAAAGAAATGACTGAGATTCAATTTTTTTTGCATTTGTGGCCAATATTTGAACATGCATTGAGCAGCTATGACATGTGAAACCACTCCAATAGTAGTTCCAACTGGAAGAGTCGTATAATATTGTTACTGGGCTAAAAAACAATCATGGTTTTCCAACTAATAGTGCTTCAAGTAATGTTATGAAAAGTGGTACCATGAGCAGTTCCGTCCATGTTTATTATCTATATATCTTTGCTTGTTTTTGATTTCTTTACCAAGATTAGGTTTAAATGATTTAAATCAATATTCACCACAACAATCACTGGAATCCTTTGATACTGAAGAAAACATGAAAGCGTCTTGATGCTCAAACGAGGCCAAGAGGGTTTTTCATGACTTCTACATGGACTGGTGCATTTTCATGTACAGACATCATTGTTCTGGTAGATTAATCGTAGCGACTGGACCTGCTTGAGTTCCTTGCAGACGTTCCACCTTCATCCAAGAGGCTTCATCAGCTCTGACTGACTAGTTGGGAGTTCCAGATGCTTATATCCTTAAGGAGCCATTAACACCTGAGTTTGGATTTCTA